CTCCTGCTTCCAAATAACCTAATGTCTCTACAAGCTGGTACAAAAAAAACGTATCTACTAGCAAAATTTGCAGAAATATTTGGTAGCGAATTTACTAATACAGATTACTTTTTAATGCTATTATGGAATTAAATTTAATATTCTTGACCAAACTGTATTCCATAATAGCATTAAAAAGAATAACTACAAAACAAAACTTGAGCATTTTCAAAATTAATGGTTCCATTTTGAATAAAAGAAGCTTGTTGAATACCTAATTAATTCTATAAAGATAATAGTTTAACATAGCTGCAGGATTTCTTTATGTGAATGTATGGAACATTTTATATTTTATTCATCAAAGAATGTTGTATATTTTACTGCTCCTAACTTTAGCTTTACAAGGATCATATGAAGTACAATATTTTATATTTTGAGAATTCTCCGAGTATGAAACTCTTTTCATAGAAATATCTATCTTGTTGTTACAATATTTGTAACTGTATGTTAGTGTCTAAAATCAATATTATGGGAATAGAGCTTGTAGCCGAATATTTTATAAAACTCCCTCGCCTTATAAATGCTTTCCGGACTTATATGATATGGAATATATATTGGGTCATTCGTAAAGTTCTGCGATTTTTCAAATCGAAGTGTTTTCTCTTCTAATTTTTTTTACTGCTCAAATGGAGTAACCTTAATCAAAGCAAATGTTTAAATATGGTCTTTTCTGCTCACGTTGTGTAATTCTAGCATGTATTGTAGCATAATTATTGTTCCAGAGCAATGCCCAGAACTTCATTTTCGTCATATTGCTAGAAAGACTGCTCGCAAAATGTGTGCTATAAATGAACAGAGTGCTGTTTCTGATATCACAGTTTAAATGTGGTTGAGAAGTTCGGCATGAAGGTTTCAATCTTAAAGTTGATTTCCGCTCTCGAAAACCTTCCTATGTAAATAAAAGACCTATGAAGAAGCTATCGCTATTAAAAAAAAACCTTTGTCTCTGATAACCCACCCTATACACTTCAGGAACTATGAAACAGACAAACTATTTCACAAAATGCAGTACGTGAGCTATTGAAGAAGATTTGGTATGTAAGCTGCTTCGATGTATGGGTATGTTAAGTGGCAAAAACCACTTATTGAGTACTATATTGTCACGGTACTACTTGCTGTGGGCCAAAAACAGCACTTACTTGTTAAAACGCGAAAGTGGTAAAACGCGAAACTAGTAACATTAAATCCTGAAAATGGAGTGAGTTAGTCGTCCCAAAAATAAAAATGAATAATCTATACAGACATTGCATTGTGAATTATTGAACAGCCCCTGTGGTTTGCAAGAGCGGAGTAGACAAAAGAATTTAAATAAAATTTCACTTCAATATGCTAATAAGGTTTAAATTTTATTATTATTAACTTATGGGTTACAGCAGACTAATTTATAAATACAATAAATTTACTCTCCCGAGAGGTAAACGAGAAATATTAAATATTTTTGGATATTCTAGTTTTCCAGACACAAATATTTTCATTACAATTATCATTAACAGGTTTTTACATAAGAAAACATTTCTATTAATTCAGAACATATATTTACCGGTACATCTATTTAATAATGATATTATTGCACCAAAATTACCCATGATATTGCACATATTTTCTCAGTAATACAATTGAACCGCGCTGCTGGGTGCACAAAAGGCAAGATAAAGTTTGCTATCTTTATTCTTCATAGATTATTCATACACTGCTAAATAAGAATTAATAATGACACAGTCAAGTTTTAAAGACTGCATACAGAATATATACATTATGATAAAAACACATTTTCTTCTTCTCAAATGCCTCATTAATTTACATCAATCCCCCCCCTTTAATCATGGATTTGGAAAACGTTGGAAATTAGATTTAGCTCACTTCTTAATTTCAGAAATTTTGGTTTGGGCAATGGCTTAGTGAAAGTATCTGCAATTATGGAATTTGTATTGGAGTATGTTATCTCAATTATTTTATTCTCTTCCACTTCTCTTAAAAACCAAATATTCAACAATAATATGCTTTAACCTGGTATTCATTTTTCCCTGTTTTATAAGAGCTACTGTGGACTTATTGTCATCAAATATCTTAATGGGTAGTTTTTGAGGTAGTCCAAAATCTCCTTACAGATCTAATATCCGTTTCAGCTCCTGCGTAGCAGAAGCTGCAGAAATAAGCCTTTCAGTAGATGATAAGGAAATTCAATTTTTTTCTCTTTGTGGACCAAAATATTGAGCTTTTCCGTAAGAAAAATAAATTTCCATCGGCTGATCGTCTGTTGGTTAAATCAGATGCATATTCGCCATCCGTATAACAGGAAAATGTTGGTGAGTTATCAGTGTCATTTTTCAGGCAAATGTCCTTTGTAGAGTTCAGGTATTGAAACACTCTTATAGCTGCTTTCCAGTCCTTCTCATTAGGAGATTCATTTTTCCTGCTTAATAGATTCACTGCTAGGGGAATGTCCTGTCTGGTTACAGTGGCTATATATAATAAGGCTCCGATGGCTTGCTTGTGCTTAATATTGTCCAGTGGTGGACAGGCGTCCTCTTCCTTTAGATAAGAAGTATCCATTGGTGTGTGAATATCCGGACAAAATATCTTCTTCAATTTTTCTATTTTTGATTTTTGGCTCAATCGGAACTTGTTTTCATCTCTTTTGATGTTGATTCCTAAGTACATTCTGATTTCTCCTAAGTCTTTTGCTTCGAAGAATTCGTTGATTTTTTTTCGCTTTTGCATGCTATAAAGATATCGTCAATAATCATATCGTGTCAATATAGACAATAATCATTATCGTGTCATTTCCATTTTTCTTTAGAAACAAGCATTGGTCTGCCGTACTCTGCGAAAAGTTACTCTTCTTTAATATTTATTCGACTTTTTTATTCCATGCTGCAGCAGCTTGCTTTAATCCATAAAGAGCTTTTTTCAGTTTGCTAACCTTTTCTTCTTCTGGGTGAAATGTGCCTTCGGGCTCTTCCATGTATATTTCTTCTTCTAAATTTCTGTGTAGAAATGCTCTAGTGACGTCTACATGCCTCACTTGCTTTTACCATACATATGCTGTGACAGCAAGAAAAGTTCTGATATTTGTATGTAGAACTACTGGTGGAAAGTTATGATCGTAGTCAGTTCCAAATTTTTGACTATAACCTTTAACGACTAGTCGCGCCTTGTAACGAGACTGTTCCATCTTCGTTTTCTTTCAGATTGATCCATCGACAGCCAATAGGTTTCTTTCCTACAGGAAGCTAAACTAATTCCCAAGTTTTATTTCGGGATAAGGAATTAATTTCCTCGTCAACTGCGAGTAACCACTTTTCCTGTTCTTCAAAATTCAAATTATCTAAGTCTTTAAAATTCTTTGATATAGTTTTTATAAAATTGTTTTAATCAAAAATCCAGAAAGCGCTAATTTTGCAGTTAAACACTAACGACATTTATTCAACTGTAACTAAAATAATATAAAGCGACATATACATTAATGTTGCATACAAGCACATACGAAAGCTTAATAAGAAAAAAGAATAAAAGGATCATGGGATATAAAAATTGGACGTGATTTGGCGTGGTTGACGCGCAAGCGCCTTTATATTTCTAGGGTTACCAGAAGTGAGTTGGAAAAATCATTTTCTTCTTCTCAAATACCTGATTAATTTACAAAAGTTCCATGGTGTACTTGTAACAATATCCGTATCCCTGAAGAAGATGAAAACCGGAAAAGGGAAGTTCTCTACACTTTTCTGTAGATATCATTGAGCAAAAGCGGTCATCTGTGTTAATCCATCAGACCGGGGCAGTAACTATGCGCGCTGCTTATGTTATGGATGCAGTCTTTTCGATTTCAATATCCTCAAGACGGTGGTTTGGGAAAGACCGAAATGAGTAGTTATTGCTCGTGTACAGCTCTTCGATTTCAACAGTCCTTGCCATTTGTCTAAGATTCATGGCACGTCTCTCGAAAGATCGATCACATAATCTTTGATGCAACCTTGCAAACATCTGGTGTAGCCCTCATAGGGCAGCGCTTCCGGTACAGGGGTACAATGTTTCGCCCGTTACAGTCAGAAACTTCTAATACTAGGTGTAATACTGCTAACTCCCGCATTTGTAGAACTTTCTATTTTACTACTTGTGCGAGGAGATTTGCGAATAAAAGTTTTCTTCGTCGACGTTTTACCGGTTCTTCAGCAACTCCCTTCATCGGGTTACAATGCATTTCCGATTCAGCATTACTATCTGATCTTCAATAACCTACATCCCCTAGACGTTTGTACTCTAGAATGAATTCTCCAGCATATTACTTATTCTGTTTGTTTTAGCAAATGTAATATATAGTTCAGTTACCAACTTATATGTGGCTATTTTTTGGTAAACTCATTACTTGCAAGCAAATAAACTGAGTATAATTTACTTTTATCCTGTCATAATCTTTTTGGACACTTCCAGTATTTATTTATCTTCAGAGTGCAGAGACTACGAACAACCTACGTAGTCTACACATAGTTTATTATTATACAAAGTTTATTAGTAGTACAGAGACTACGAATGTCCATAAATGTATTTTTACCAGATCACAATTTTGTGTCTCTTTCAGAACGTTTTCTTAATAATATTTTTCTGCATTTTAAAATTTATTAAGATACATTTTATAAACTAAAATAATCTTTCAAAAACCTATAAAACTTGCATTTTTCTTCTCAAATTTCATAACAGATACTTAAAAGATTTTAATTTTGCAGCTGACTTTCTCTCACTGATAATTTAAATCAAAATTTGCCTTTAAAATTATAAAAATAATATATTGTATAATTATTTCAAATAAAAAATTTGATCACTGATAAGTTTGCATTTAGAATACATTAGTATTTAAGAACTTTGAAAGAATGATTTACATGCTTGAGAAAAAGGTTTTCTGTTCTCACTTATACTTGTTTAATGCTTTGTATCATTCACAGAATTATTTTTTTTTCAAACAGATATCCTATGGAGCAGCATCACCTGCATTGAGTGATCGAAAAAATTTTCCTTTGTTCTTCAGAACAGTAGCACCTGATTCATCTCACAATGCTGCTATTCTGGCATTTATACGCTTTCATAAATGGTACACTGTAGCTGCTTTCCACGAGCAAGGAGATAAGCATGCACTGGTGAGTAAATTATGTATGATCTTATTAGTTTGAAATATGTACTCGTGCTCTGTATTGGAAAAATTATTATTTTTAAAATTTAGTTCTACTCATCACGTTATTATTCAAAATAATTTGAAAGTATTTCAAATATACTGGTTTTTAGCTGCAGCTAAAATTTATTAATTTCAGCTAGAATGATAAATTTGTAATTCATCAAGTTTTGAGATAAAACGAATGCTCGGAGAAGTATTACTGCTTCTTATGTATTTTAAAATTGTTAATATTATCAACTTCTAACATAAAAAATTAACGAAAACTATAACTGGCCACATTTATCTGACAAGTTACAAAATAAATGTCTATTCATTAGAAACAAATAGATCCTCATCACTTTATTATTTCTTTATCGAAATTGACTTCGAATGGGAATAGGAATACATACCTACTACTAAACCAGCATTTTGTTCTTCTTCTAAATTTCGATAAATTTTAAAAGTAAGGGAAGGAACTAAAAATATTTTAATAAAACGTTTACATTGGCATCGATTATTTTAATTTGTCAGAAAAAGATTCATAGTATATATTAAAATGCCTATAATATAAAAATGCAGAAACATGATGCATATATCATTTGAATATTCCTAAACTGTAATCGGCCCTCATTTCCGATGTTTAGTCTGAATTTTTTTCATTGCAGAAATTTCACTGTATACTTTTTCTTAGTGATATTTTTGGATATTCGTTATTATCTGCTCTGCATAAAACTTTGACGTCCCACATTTTGTGTTGCGAATACTTTTCAAAAATACTTTATTTAAACGACTTATTTTTAGAGAAAGATGGATTTAAATACATAAAATACTACAAAAGCATTTATGACAAATTTATTTCCCAAAAGCATTTATTTATTACCCTAGATATTTAAATAAAAAAACTATACATTTCTCAACGTAGTTATTGAAATGTTACTAATTTAAAGTTTGTTATGCTGTCTAACTGGGAAATATTTCTCTGATTTTTTGGCGATTTTATGAAACTCTTTTTTTTAAAACATAAACTAATGAGCATCCTTTGATTTGATTGTCACTTGAGTCTGAGAGAATCTTCGGTGAAATTTTTGAGGAATATAAAAAGTATAAGAGTATCCTCCTATGCCTGAAGTTTTAAGAGTCTGGTGTGTTTAACGAAGCACCTTTTTTCTTTCTTCCATATGAATCCCATATCAATAAATGAAAAATACGAAACCCGCATCTTAGAGGGCATGCTTCTTAGACGGCACGTTAAAAATGCTAAAAACATATCAATGAATATTTTTAGAAACTTATAAAGCTTGCTTTGGTGAATCTAGCAGTTCTTTACCTGCAGACAAGTACGCTCTAAAACCATTTACTGCTCTCTCCTAATATCTACGAGATGATTTTGAGGAAAGTAAGTTATGTGCTCTCATACTTCTTCTATTTGTTCCAGATCATTACCCGGCCACATTTAAAACTGATGAGCGTTCTTACCTACCTCTTTACATAATTGTACATGGTAGGAGCACGTTTTTGGCAAAACGAAGGGAGAAGTGTGAGGCATATCCCGCACATTTGTGTTCATATGGCTTTCATAAAAGGACGGTAAATGATATCATTGATGCCTTGCTTAGAGTACCCATCTGGCAATGATTATGTCTTCGATTAGAAATAAATTTTCAACAAAAGTCATTCGTGTTCTGCATTTAATAATTTTAAATACAGGTCTCCCATGGGCTGCAAAATGTATTTCCACTTCAATACTACAATTATGTTATTATTCTTTACTGTAGGAAAAGCAATAGTAATCACCCATAAATTTCAACATGTATTCATAATGACTGTCTCTGCTTTAATGCCTATTTAAGCTTACTCACTACGTTTAATCTAATGTATGCATCTAAATGCAGAATCTTAGATGCCCAGATTTCAGGTTTGCATATTAAGTTCGAACGATACTTGACAACGAATAAAGCATATTTGTTTGTATCAATATTTATCAAATTATAGCAAGCATTCTCTTGGAAAGTGATTACATATAACAGATACCCTCATGTGCCAGCTTTTTAGTTCTTCATGTACCAGACTGCGTATTTCGGAAATCAATAGCATTTGTTGTATGCCGACAGAGTAGCTTGTAAGGGTTCTGTGTAATATTCAATTTTCTCATTAATTCGCTAATCAAGGCTTTCTTCAGAATTGTTTTCTGTGTCTTTTCGAATGTTACGGCGTGATGATTAACGGATTTAGCTGATAATATATATCCGGTAAGAGTTGTCTGACACATAGCTCAAAGGATGGATATTGATTTCCTTCTAGGACGTAACTGATAAGAAATGTCTCCGTTAAGTATACAATTCAACACGGACACCTTGGATGCATTAACTTAATAATTAAGCAGCTTAATCTAACATTGAATGGGACTCGTTTATTGAATCTATGTGATATATTATAATGTTTCATTAATGTAGTAATTTTTTTCGAAAATTCTAGTAATTTTTGTTAAAGCGTCTGTAATACAGGGCAGCTCATTTCAAATTTATAATTATCCTAAATTCTTTAATAAACTTATTATAAGATTCTTGGAATAAAACATAGCCGCTAAATATTTTGCTTTCCATGTATAAGCGATATGTAATTCAAAAGGGAATTTTCTTTTTCTATCAAGCATATTAAAAATATAAATATATATTTGTTCTATAAATCCATTGTTAAATTAACATGAATTCTATTGTAAATTAGCTATTTCTAGTTATAGATAATGACTATTTCGACCTTTTCATTTCAGCCCATGACAAAGCTTGTCACCGATCTAGAACAAATAAATGTTACCGTAGCTTTAACCAAAGGAACAAACGACAGAGATTTCAAAGACCATTTACAAGAAATAAAGGTTAGTTTGAACAGGCAGTTTTTTACTGATGCATATGGAAAGTTTTGAGAAAACATTCATACGATTTAAAATTTAAAGCTGTATATTTACGCAACTTTCTCACAATTATTTACTTAAATTTATAATTTATCATTTTGATTAAGTAACAAAGCACAATTATTAATGATACTATGCTGTATATAAATGGGAAAATGTGAATCTATTCTTATACAAAGCATAAAAGGCTAACAAGTTCAAAGAGAGCCCTTTAATAATTTGGTAATATCTTCTTAAGTAAAAATTTTGTTTCAAGACTGTGGGCCTGAGTATACTACCTGATACAATGATTCTGAGCGGAACTCATTTAAATTTAGCATTCTGCTAATTTCTTTATTTCTTTATTTATTTTGTTGCAGACGTTTTGGTATTTTAAGTCAATCTATGAGACATTTTAATCTTAGTTTTACAAGAATGTCTTTTATTGACACTTCAAATTAATTGATAACTTAATGATCGGTCTCTTGCTAATGAGGTATAAATAGAGACGTTGAATGCAGACTGAAACACCTCAGAGATAGAAAAATTTATATGTAACCGATTATGGCAAAGACCATACCCACACACGAAGGCTATTTATCTTCAGAGACATTCCTTCATTCTGAAGGAAACTGTCTCACCTTTTACACAAGAAAAATTCCGTGCATCCTCCGCAATCTCTAGGAATCGAAATCGAGTCAAACTGCTGATTTGTATAATAAGCGAGAGGGAATCAAAATTCAACTAAGAGGCTCCTCGTGCAAAAAGAATCACCAAATTCTCAATTTTGAGTGATCGAAATATGTAAGGCCTGCATATTTAAAGAAAATGCTTCGAGCTTATTAAATTTATTCTTACAAGCATGAATTAGAAAAGAAGTTCTGTTACAATAACTTTTGAAATCCAGTTTTGCTTAATAGATTGAGTACATAATTGCATTTTTGTTTTAGTCTGCTTTTTTGTTCAAAGCTGTACTTGATTTTTCTCCTGATGGTCTCAAGTTATATTTTCTACAAACAAGACGATTCTTTTGATCTAGGCTTTGCATTCCTTTCTTCATACAGTAAGCACAGCTATCCAAATGATATACACTTACTTTGTGAAGAATGGGAATTTGACATAACGTATATATACTCTCGAGGATTAGCAGAACAATCATACTCCAGATTTTAAGTTTTAAACTTTTTTTTTCAATAAGGAGAAATAAAACTGCAGGAAACTGATTTTTACAAATGTTTCATGGTCAGTTTAAAGAATACTTTTGCCCTATGCATATTGAAAGTGCAAAGTGTAAGTATGTATATACATGCAAAGACTTTAAGAAAAGAGTAGAAATGCACTCTCCTGCAGGCGAAGAGACCCTTGACCTTGATTGCTACTCTACTTTAAATATCGAAGTACTCACCTTTGTTTCCCGTGAATGAGACATACAATGACTCAAAGATTATTGGAACATAAGAAATTTCGAAGCCTTCAAGGATAAAAATTCAACTATTGTTCTAAAACTAAGGGTTTTAATTTTTTTGTGTGTGTCTAAATACTATGTTAATTCTATTCTGATGATTAAAATTAAGTAATTATTATGTACAAATAAGTTGTTTTAATATTTTCTCTTGAAATATTAAATCAATTGACATAATTATAATTCGCTAAGTCCTGCATTAAAATGCCTCCAGACTTTTGAAATTCGGTTATATATGTCAATGAATATAAATTCAATATCTTTGGGAATGGTGGAAAGCAAATTAAGCGCCGAAAACCTAATAATTAATTTCAGGTGAAGATGTTTTGGCTAGTTTAGGTTATTTGAATATGGCAAAGAACACAAAATCTATTTGCCTAAGGACAGGAATGCCTTCGGTATGAGTTTCTAAGGAAAAGTGGCTCATATTACAGCTTCAAATGAATAATTTTTCTCCTTCAGTTACGAGGTATTTTTCCCGCCTTCATAGCATGCCTTCGTGTGGTAGTCGGCACGCTCAACGCGTAGCCGAGAAGTCCGTGGTTCGATTTCCAGCGAGGGCATTGCTCATTTTTCATCTCTCTTACTTCGAAATAACCTAATGTCTCTACAGTGGCGCCGGAACTAAAAGGCTGGTGGATGATGATTCTCCACACCCAAGATTTGGCGACTGGGTCCCCTAAAGCCGCAGTCGCCCTTTAAAAGGAGGAGTGTAGAAGGTATTTCTCCCGCCTTCTTAGCGGGCCTTCGTTGTGTAGTGGTCTGCACGCTGGGCGCTTATTCCAGAGGTCCGTGTTTCGATTCCCGCCGAAGGCGTTGCTCACTTTTCACCTTGCCTGCTTCCAAAAAAATACCTAATGTCTCTACACAGTAAAATGTGGGGAATAAGTCAGATAGTCTAGAGCTGTCAGAGTGCTTATGGTTTTGGAAATCTATATTTTATAAATAAAGAAAACGGATAAATTTATGTATTTAAATACTTAAAAACAAAACTTGACCCAGAATACTCCAATATGGGCATTCTTCGCGTGACAAATATGCGAAGAACAATTATCCCAAATATAATGTTCATATTCTCAAAATGTGCGTTTTGTATACTGTCCACATGCAATCAAATCGCTTATGCAAAATCTCTTCCCCAATCCCGTTGAACATATTTGGGATCATTTGCGAGGCAAATTTAATAAATTTAGAATTTCAACTAAAAATGAACTCAAAGAAAGCTTTACAACGAAAGGGTAGAAAATGGAAGCCAATCTCCTGAAATCCATTTCTTAGATCACTCATCAAGTCATAAAAAGGAAACTAAGCCCATCAAATTAATAAAATACTTTGTTTTTGTTTTTAACCCACCAGAGATCACGCACGTAAATTTCCGCATTAAATCACGGCTTTCCTGTTCGTTACATTCAAAATTTTTCAGCCTGCTCCTGATGAATTCGATTTCGAGATGTATTCGAGATGTATTCTTGACGAAAAGTATTTAAGACATAAAGTGAGAGTTATAATCAGAAAACTAACGCTTATATATAACAAATTGGGAAACTTTGAAATTTCAGAACAATACCCCTAGCGCTTGGCGGGAAAAAAGTACATTTGTGTGCCTAATATTCTTTTTTTACCCTTGTTTTCTAATTTTTAAGCATGAAGCGTATAATTTAATGTTTATTCAACATTATTTTAATTATTTCTCAGTTTTATTTAAATTTATCGCGTTGCTTGAAACAAAGGCATTTTATTTAAATTAAATATTTATTCTTTCAAAAAAGTTTGAAAACGTATTGTGCCTCAATACGTTTTTATCTCACTGTGTATTTTCAGCTGCGGAAGTCAAATATCAAAATTCATTTAACATGAGACCAGAGTTATGAATGCTGTATTATATTATTGCAGATAAAATCTTTTAAAACTGCTCTTCTGTAGATATGAAATTTAGATTTCTGCAATCTTTAATGTTCTATTTAGTTAAAATATTATGCATAAATAAGCAGATAATTAGGCTTTTAAAAAGCAACATTAGTTTTACTAATGTTTGCTTATTTTAAATTTTAATGTACGTAGGAATGATAAAATGACTGAGCACAATATCACTCCTAAGTGAATTATCATAACAATATTTCATTTTCTTTTTATTATTTCATGTTATTTTTCTTCTTGGCATTACCTGGAATAGAAAATACTTTCTGATTACAACGCTGAATTCATAAGTAATTAAGTCTAAAATTTACCTTGATTTATGGGAAATTAACTGCTGTACTGTTGTTTTGCAGCGACTTTTCTTTACCTGTTTCTGTCTCTACAAATCGCCGGCACAGAAGGTACCACTTCACAATTTATTTTTAGGCTTTTGAAGTATTGTAGTCCATGTATAAGAACTTTATGTGCATATAAGGAAATATTTATTTACTTTATGAGCGTTTATATACTGTACGTGCATCTTCGTCTATCACCCAGCACTTTGAAATATTGCTGCATGAATTTTAAGAATATTTTAGCTATTTATATATTAACTAACATTTGGGATTTAAAATGTCAACAACATATTGTTTCTCTGAATAATTTTTACTTCACATATTCAGCCTGTATTCGGATTTTTTTCTGCTTTACATTTTTAGCAATGTGCCATTGTAGCATATTTCAGATAGCATCGAGCCGAATGCAAAGAATTTTAATGTCTTATATTCGATTATAATATTATTTTTGTAACTCAAAAAGATTTAACGGGTAAATTTTGCCCAGGTTTATGCTAAAACCCTAGAGTTTATGGGCGGCGAACAATTCACTTCTTATGTATTTAACACATGAGCTTTTTCTCCTTACAATTATTGATAAGATTTTTCTAACTTCGAGCTTTAATACTGAGAACAGATCAATTTTGTAAAAGCGTGGGTGTTATCCTCTTGTAATATTATTTGATATAAAAAAGTCTAGAATCTCTCATAGAAATACTATCTAATTCCTGACCATAATCATCAGGAAACTTTAAGAGATGATCAAGTATGTGAACAAAACAATATGTGAAAATTATGTCATTTTGTAGTCGCCTGCAACCCCAGAACAAATCGTGTAAAGTGGCCCGCTCGGCAGCAGTATTTTCAGCCATACATTGGTAAACGCACTTTCTCTGTAAGCTCTGTAATCCTTTTGTCAACGAGTCTACTATACACTTTCTGGATCAAATTGGGTTTACTTGAATAATGGGAAAGCACACAAGGTCTATGTATCTAAGTACATCTTCTGCAATTTGGTATTCATAATGATTGTAAATTCTTGCCAACTCGTGTTACTTTTTCCCAAGAAGCTGTACAATTTGCCACACTTTGTTTGGCATTGTTTTGTATTTTTGGGGTATAGATGCTAAGGATTTCTGTTCCTATGTACAGGCTATCACAGCATTCGAGCAGTAGTCATTAAAGTACGGCAAGCATTCCAGCTTCTAAGAATGCGCCTCATCACACCGAACATCGTAACTCATAAATACATCATGTGTGTAGTCCATGGCTATAAATACTTAGGGTAGTAT